TAAAAAAAAAACTATCATGGAGGTGAAGAGAAATGAAAAAAGTGATCACAGTAATGATAAAAGCAACAAAAATGGCAAAATTTAACATGAAATAAGCGCCAAGGACATGCCAGGGGCCTTGAGAAGCATCCAGGAAGCATTGTTTCATCAAGGTACCTGCGAAGAACCTACTGCTGCACCAGTGGTGTGACCTGGCTCCAAGCGCGGACCCCTCTGTGCCTATTCTCAGCTGTAAGGAGAGAACGGAACGTTAGGCACAGGATTGTTGTGGGAAATGGATGAGCTAATCCACGCAATGCCCGTGGCACAGTACCTGGCACTGTAGGAAGTTCTCAGTCAGTGACGACGACCACTGTTCTCATTTCACAGATAAGGAAGCTGGGGCGCAGTGAGGTCAAGAGGCCGGTGGGCCCTGAATCCAGATCTCACGTCAGAGCCAGTTTTCTAGATCTTGCCTCTTGGTTGCTCCTAAAGATAAAGATAAGCAGATGGGAGTTTAAGGGCTCACGGGAAGAGACGTGAGGGCTTGAGAGCTTGGGATGAAGGTCAGACAGAAACGGGAGAGGGACCTGAAGCCAAAGAAGCTGCTTGAGGGAGAAGAGAACGGAGTTGTGAAGGGTGTAGGCTCTGGAGTCAGACCACTGGTGTGTGAACACGGGCATCTCCAACTTGCTAGCACTCGGTGCTAGTACAATGCGCTTCAACAGACAACAGTGACTTATTCGTGCCCCTGGAGGCAAATCCTCAGAGTGGAAAGGGAGGCTCCCATCTAGGCCAGGGCTGTCCCAACAGAAATGAAACACAACTACCTGTGTCATTTAAATGTTTAGTAAACATACTGACTTAGGGTGGCGAACACACAGTACCCTACACAGATGATGTACTGTAGAATTGTACACCCGAGACCTGCATGATTTTATTAACCAATGTCACCTCAAGGAGTATTGGGGGTAATGGCAATAATAACCACCGCCCTGCAAAACCGCATAGGAAGGTTAGTCAGTCTGAGTGACTACACAGAAGACATTTGGAACTGTGTCCGGCAGCTTAAACAGTCAATGGAAGTTACCCACGTGGCTGCTTTACAGGAAGGAGTCAGGGAGACACTTCCCCGGGTGGCTGCAGCCGCACACACAGCCCGATGAGCAGACACCACTCAGCCCTTCCTCCCGGGGAGCCCTGCAGTGAGTGTCCCGCCCAACCTCACCTGGGGCCCTAATACAAGTTCTCCTGTAGCTCTCAGCAAGAATCTGATTCGAGGGGCGTGAGGGTGGAGATTGAGGGTAAAATGCCCAGGTTAAGAGATCATCATTAGTTAATCACTGTTTAAGTATTTATTAGTTAATCATTACTAGCCATCTGACTTCAGACAGCAGAACCCTGGTATGGTAAGGGAAACGTAAACCTTTCCCATCTCGGAAGAAATGCCCTTGGACTTTGTAACCCCCTTTGCTCTGGCCTCTATTTGCCTGGTGACTTCTGCTCAGCAAGAGTGCTTTGCAGGGAGACCTTTCCATTACGTCTTGGGGGAGGGGGGTAATTAGTAGGTCAACCCTCTCCCTTGTGATTGCTTACTCAGCTGTCAGGTCCCAAGCACCTGAAACAGCACCTGTGACAGTAACTGCTCGGCAGACGCTCAGACCAGTGTCAGCGCCTGTCATCGGGCAGAGGCACATGGAGAGACTAGGCTAAATGGTCCACGGACTGAGCTGTAGAACTGAGGCTGATCCCAGCTGGGAGGATTTGGAGAGCAGGGGTTCTTTCTCAAAGGTTATCCTCTAGGTCAGCGGTTGCCAACCTTTCGGACCTCACGACCACCGGCTGGTGACCGCTGCTCTAGGTCTTTCACAGTATTTGCTGTCCTCGGGCCAGATCGAGGTCATCTTTGGGAGGAAAAGAGACTCTGGATTTTTAAAA